GAGTAATATTGTACTAAATAAATTAACGTTTTGATTGTTTCGTTTTCACATTTTTTTATATTTCTGTTCAAATACGTTCCTAATTCACCATTCCATGTGTAGAGTCGCTGACTACTGACTAGGACTATGAATACATAACAAGGAAACACTATTATATGGAAAAACTATTCAACAGATTTGTTTTTTAAATGAAAAGAAGAGAAACATAGACATGTTATTGGGAATTAAACTTAAGAGAACAAGTGACTGACATTCCAACAGGCTGGGGACAGCAAAAGAAAGATGAGAGAACATGTTCATGTTTATGTCAACACTAGTAACATGTTAAAAGACAAGATCCAAGAAACAAGAAAACATGATTTATACATAGTTACTATTGTAATCTCATCTAGCAGCCTGGAATCACTTCCTTTTGACCCTCTGGTTACGCATTGATTAAAGAAGAAAAGAAAATATCAAAACCTTGGTTAGCTTGATGCGTATGAATCAATATTTTTCTTTTAAGATCGTAAATTAAACTCACCTGCGAGATTGATCGCATGGTTAGCTTGAGCATCAGCATCAGAATTGTATTCCTACAAATAAAAAACAAGATTACAAACCAGACAGCTTACAATTATCGAATGATCTAACACCGAATCGAAAATTATCCAAACCGGAATAGATACTTGGTTATAATTAGCTATAAAACTCTCAAAACAAGACATGACTTGAAACTGAATGTTATGCAAATTAAACAAAAGGATTTTGTGGCTTACTCTCATTATGTGTTCAATATGAAATGATTTAAACTGGGTGGGTCTTGAGCTCTTTAGCCTGTTTGCAAAGCTCAGCCATTTTTGGGTGTTTGGTCTTCCATGCATCTTGAACCTGTTTCATTGATGAAAATCCAGTTACCAAAAAAATTAAGATATTAACACGCATTATCCGAACAAATGAAGATAAAAGGTAGAAGTCTATCTGGACCTGCATACAGACAAGCATTGAGTCTCCTACGATGCGCACATTTGTAAACCCTTTCGCGAGAGCAACCTTCATACCAAGAATCAAAGCTCGATACTCTGCAACGTTGTTTGTAGCAGTGCCTACACCTTCACGTAAATAGAAGAGGACACTTTTATCTGAAGCACGGAGAATAGCTCCTGCACCAGCTTTTCCTGGGTTTCCTTTTGAAGCACCGTCAAACTCAATGGTAATTGTATCCTGAGGTAGAAGTAAAAAGATGCAAACACCAAGCATGTGAGTGAAATAATTTGTTGGGTGGTAATTACATTTTTAAGCATCTGTAGCTGACTTACATTATTGGAAGGAATAACCCGAGGAACCATGTCCTTTTGTATCTTAAGATGCTTTGGCGGAGGACTCGAGGAAAAGAAACCCGTTTGATCACTTCCCTGAAAGATCAAAAGTCACAAGATTTTTCATCATCATCTTTCAAGACCTTGTGAAACACACGATTACAATTACATAGTATCCGCAAGTGAATTGAACAATGTGCCTACTTTGAACTTACAAGATTTTCTGTTCTGACTGTTTCTTGCATTCTCTTAATCGGAAAAGGTTTGTTGTCGAAAGTCCCTCCTTGGGAAGAAGATGGTTGCTGAAATGTGAACAATCTTAACGCAACTTGAATAATCTTAAATCACAAAAGAAACTGCGCACTAACATCTTACTCTCTTATTCTTTGTCAGTCTCTCATAAACGAATGTTACAAAGATCAAATCACTGATTCAGTGTCTAACCTGAACAGGACAAGGAATGAGTTTCCCAAAAACATCATCTTTGGCATAACTTGCATTGATAGAAAAGAGAGCATTCTTAATTCCAAACGACGATATCAAGTCTTCTGCTCCTTTTGGCCAACCATATCCTTTGTACACACTCGTCGCAGGATGTGAAACCTTACACGTCAAAATCCAAACAAACGAAAAAACATGTAAGAAAAAAAAAAAAGAGAAAATTCAACAGTGAGCAAGATTGAGTCAAATTAGAAAAAAATGTTAACAAAAAAAAAAAAGAGGCAGAACAGAGAGAGATTACAGATGATCCAGATTGGTCTTGGCATTCGCTCAATGTTCTATATACACCAATGATGTCTCCCTTACGGACAATGTAAAACGCGTCTTTCTCATCCTCCATTGCAGAATCTATAAATCAATTAACACTTTCGATCAAAAAACCCTAAAATCCCAAATTGTTAGTAACCAAACGAAACCCAAGTTATCGAAATTAGACAGAGGATTAGGATAAATGCAAGAGAGACGACGAAGCAAACCTTCAAGTAAACCCCTAAAACCTCTACACGAGCGAACAAAGAAGTGGAAAATCAAAGAAACTGAGAGAAGCCCTTGACAAGGAAATTCAACAGAAACCCAGGATTCGAAGATCCAACGCGAATCGAGCGAGAGATTTCAACAAATAAAATTCGAAGATTTGCTTTTCGAATTTCAAAATCAGAAATTGAATAATGATGCTTGAGAGTAAGTGGCGATGGAGCGGCGCAAAATAGAAGAAGAAAGACAAATAAATGGATGGGCTTTGGCGGGAATAAGCCCAATGTTATATTTAGGGCTAAAGATTTGGAAATCACGTGTCGTTCGGCGTCACTAGAAACAAACTGCTTGCCGTTTTAGCTTACCGCTTACTCAATAATGTTTTTGGTTCTCTTTTTTGTCTTTCTTTTGCAAGTAGCTCTAATAATTATCTCAAACTGAATTCGTTTTGGGTTAGGAGAATATAAATCATTATTTTATAACAAACGACTTATTAAACAAAACGATACATGTATGTCATGCTTTATAAATATTACATATTAATGCCGTAGGTGATTAAGGTTCATAGCTTACAGTAATGACACAGTCGTCATTCAAAGTACTTCATCAAATTTAAATGATCTAATTAGATGGGATTCGGAGATAAAGAGGGATTGGATTTTTGGTAGCCGTTGGAGAATCCCATACTGAAAATGCACTTTCAGAATTCATCCATTTATCAGTCATTTCAGGATAATGACGATCAAAAACATCTTTAAGAGTTTCTGTAGTATTCACCCATTCAAGTCCTTTCTTTGTATAGGTAGTCTTATTGAAATCGCTCGTGAAAAATCTATCCGCTTCTAATCTCCTGAAATTTTTTAAATTCATATACAATATTAAGGGCTTTTAATCTAATGTCTTGTATAAAATAATTTTGTAAGAAAATAAAAAAATTAATGCTAGAAAATACCTTGTGGCCATAAGGAGGAAAATGTTAAACGCCGTCTCGCTGATAGCGAACCCTTTGATTTTCTTCTCTGCCATAAGTCCCACCAGAAGATCAAGCTCATCTACATCACCACCGTACACGTCATCTAGCAATTCAATCGCTTCCTTATCGTCCGTTAGATCTTCCCACTTTGTTATTGGAATCATAAACATAGCTCTCCTAAAATCGTTGTACCTTGCAACATTCCTCTCCCTGTCCCTATAGACTACAAAAATGACGAACCCAATTCATGTGATCACTCATCAAACGATTATAATCCTATCAAAACACAATATAACGGTTGGGATCGGATTGACTTACTCTCTAAAGCGGCTAAGTCGATGTGGTCCGGACGATCGTGACCGTTGGGGTCTTGTGGAACAAGATCCCTAAACCACTGTGGATAGTTCATTAGCTCAAGTGCACCACATGCTTGGTGACCCATTGAGACCATTAGCTTAGTGAATCCAATATGAGATATGGTTTGTTCTCCCTTACGACCAATCAACTTTTCAACAGGAATCCTAAATCCAAAAAATAAACCTAACTTTTAAAATCTTTAAATATAGAAATTTCAAGATATGGACAATTAGAGAGCTGAAATTAAAGTTATACTCTTCAATCAATGGTAGTGATTTATTAGTTCCCGGTACAACATCAACATCACGCATTTGGAGTTGATCAGGTAAGAGAGAGTGCATTCTATATACGCTAGTGAATTCTTCGGTTAACGAATATGGCACTCCATGATTTTCCGTTTTTTTCATACCCACGATTCCTCCCAAAATTGAACTGCCTACATGCCCGAATGAATCTTTAAACTTCTTTCCAAGTAGTCCGTACCTTAAACACAAAAAAAAAATTAAATATGTGTTAATTTAGATGGAGAACGTATCACATGATTATAGATTTATAGGTAAAAGTGTACTACAATATTCACCAATTTGCTCGCATCCCAGCAAGTAAAGTATCGGTTTTGAGAAGCTCGACGGTCCAATCTATGGTGTGAATCTTGGCAATCACAGCTGATGTCACTAGCCTAGCGTAGCGATACAAATCTTCGTCTCCCAAATCCATATCCTCTTTCTATTATAAAATGGAGATTTTTTTTTGTCAACATATAAAATAGAGATTTAAAAGTAAACTAATTAATTATCATTTTTTCAAATTTAATTTAAAAACATATAACTAACCTTGAGGGCGTCACATACGGCGTTGTGCTCTTTGATGAAGAGAGCTTGCAACACAGATACACCAACCCAACTGTTACGTACGTCGCCGGAGATGGCTAAACAGTCGTTGTCGTGGAGGAGCAGACCCGTTTCCTCCGATATCTTTAGTTTTCCATCTTTGTAAGTTCTCACTCTCTCCAATGCCTTCGAGTTACTTCCATAGATGACGCTCGAATCCCTAAAGTAAAACTCACTCATATCATATGTTTATATATTAATTGAACAATCTATAAATTGTATAATATATGGTTTATATGCATGCATGGATACGTGTACGTCCGTTACGTAAATTTTTAAAACGAATCAAGATATAATTCAAACCAACATAAAAAGATTCAAAATTAGGAGCTAAATAATCTCTCAAAAATGAATTTTGCGATCTAAACTAAGACTAAAAATAAAATGCAAGGTCTAAGAACACCACCAACAAGAGTCTCTGACATGGTATCTAAGTAATTATAAAATAATAATAAAGAAACAAGAGAGAAAGACCGCTCTAAGAGAGATTCTCAACATTTTGAAAAATCCCCTACCATTTTGTTGTTTCATTATTGGTTGATTGTTTTTTAATATTTAAATAAATCATTGAATTTCATAAAAATTGCTAAAATGATATATCTGTTTTTTGCCACTGAGGATGCTCTAACCAACGTATCGAAAAAGGTGTATAGTATAGTATGTGCAATAGATAATATAGGCTACAATAATTTACTTACCACCAAGGTGTACGAGTATTTAGCGAACCGGTCTTGATGTCGAAGAAACCGGTCGGGACTTCCTTGGTCTTAAAGAATCTAAAGGAGTTTAAGGGACACTCGTTCGCTACTTCTTTTGGAGCCACGAGCTCGATCTAAGTTACCAATGAATAAACTAATTTAATCGTTTGGTTATTTAACATATTACTAGTGGTTGAAAAATTAATGAACGAACCTGATCAGTTTCTTCAAGATGATCAACCCAATCATGGATCATGAATTGAATCCATGAAGCTGCAATCATATTAAATTGTTTTCCTGTGTCGATCATCTTTCTTCTTGCTAATAATTTTGTCGCCACCACCATCGGGTCTGGCTTCAATAACTTCAAAAGACATCACACAAGTAAAAACTCTGAAAAGTGCATCAATGTAGAAACTTCTCAACAAAATGTCCCTTTATATTAGTACGTCAATTCACTGAAAAAATTCCAAACTATTTTTATTCTCCAAACTAAAACCATAGTGACACTTTTATATACACACACACATATTTAAATATGGAGTTAAATTTTACGTACCTTTATTTTCTGATCAACGGGAGGACAATTTCTTCCGATGAAGCTAAATTGGCTACCGACACCTTCGTTAAACGGATCAGTGAATTTTCCATCAGCAGTCCGGTACGGATAATCAGCCGGATTAAACCGGGTCCCAACCGGAGTTCGACCGACATTGATAAGATTATATTCTTGGTGAAGATGTCTACGCAATCCAAGGTAGGCTAAACCCAAGAAAACCGGAAGCTTATGCCATGGAACAACCTTATCCACTGCATGCACGATCTGCACCAGAAAAACATCGGATCATAACTATTTTTCGAAACATTATAAACCATCCAAACTTAATGCAGCAGCTAACGTTTACCGATAACATGAAATCGCTCAAATATATTACATAAAATTTCCTAAAAATGTATTTTGTGGAAAGGAATATGTTTTGTTGTTTTTTACGTCCATATATACTACAGTTAAATTACTTACAAGAAGTAGAAAACGATCGAGGAGGGACATTCTTGAGTAAATCTCATGAAAGTCTTTGTGGATGAATTTAAGCAAAACAGAAGAGATTAGAGAACTAATTACTTCCATCCTCTTAAATTTGATGGTGTTATTACAGATATATTGTACTATGAGAACGTAACAAGAGAATTGTTTGAATATAATTGTGAGGGTTGTGAGAAACTATTAGCGTGTCTGTTATGTATTTATAAGCAAAAGCCATGAGAAAATAGAAGACTATTCAAATACAGACACTAATTAATTAACCAAAATCAAATCGATTCATTTGATTTAATTAAATCAAACTTAAGGAGGTTATAACCAGACTTACTGGAGACTCTTAGTTGGGTAGGTGTATAGTTAGCAAAACACAATAAAAGAAAGGTTGCCAATTCAAAATTGATTCGTCAAAATAAGTACCATAGAGCCATCATCAAGTTGTTCCATCTTAGGATACTTTTTGTTTGGTAGCTACCTAATTTCGAGAAAATAGATAAGGATACAATTTTACATTGGATGAGTCTACACGTATATCAGAAAACGTCCGAGTCTTTGATATATATCCCACCATGCATATTTGATTATAAATTATATATATATAGAGGACCAAGAACATTTCTTGAATCAAATGTGAAAACAATTCCATTTGTGTTAATATGCATGCACGTTACTAAGAAATTAATATAATTAAGCTGAATTTTATATAAATGAAATTATATACATTCAACTTCACAAAAGTTTTTGTTTAAAAAAAAATCAATTCAATAGGTTTTACCTTTTTTTGTTTGCTTTACATGACTTATCCAAAGTTGATAATTCTACATTTATTATAACTTTTGTTTTTGTATAAACTTTCAATTATGTTCGTCAAATTTGGTGTTGGCACGATCCGCTGACTCTTGAATTTACGAAATTAGTTTGTGGTTTATTATTTTCATAATGATAAAAGTAATATAAATAGTTTCTTCTAGTAGA